AAATTAGTATATATTCTTAATATTCTCTCTTAAGCCAAATTAGCTTATAACTTATCTTAAGACCTTATTAATCTGAATAAAGATATATAGTTATTAAATAATAGTCTAGTAAGAGGCTTAGTTAATCTATTAATTATTATCTTGTTTGTTAGAAAATAATTAATCTTGATCTTATTATATTATATAAGGTCCTTAATATAATAATATATTATATTAATATGCTTTAATTTAATTTAATACCTGACTTATTACTTATCTAAAGTATGCCTTCTTCGTAAGCGAATCGCTTGCCTTTTATTAATAAGCAATCTACCTAAATCCTATAGCCCTTCACTCCTTTTTACTCCTCTCCTGCTCTCTCTAACGACAGAACGCAAAGGGCTAGCCTTCTTAATTTCCTCCTCTCTCTGCCACCTGATAATCTATTACTCTCTCTCCTTACCCCTTTTCTCCTAGCTGTCCGCGCGTACCTTTGTACAGCCCTACATGATCTATCCCTAGTTGAGACTAGACTAGAGAAAATCAAAGCCCTCATCTCAGGCATCGACTAGAAAGTTACCCCCGGCCTTACAAGCTACGCACAGGCAACCTGTACCAGTCTTGCAGGCGCTGCCGTCCCTTATGTGCCCGCTTAATCAGAACCTTCTTATACTAATAACTAAATCCTAGTCAAGGTCTCCTTAGAAGATGCTTACTTACTTAAACTCTTTTCTTTTAAATAAATTATAAAAAGGCTATAAATAAAAGGAAATAACCCTATTAATACCTATAAAAAGGCTATAAATAAAAGGAAATAACCTTATTAATACTTCTAATATAATTATAATTAAAAAGCTACTAAGTAATAACCTTATACTCTAGACTAAAGATGCCTTAACTAAGATATATTTATAATTAAATCTTAACTAGACTAATAGGATTTGCTTATTAGCTAAGGTTTATATTTGACTCTTTACTATACTTATTTATAATATTAGTATTACTAGAAAAGAAGAATATAATCTTAACCTTTTAGCTAGAAATATTAAGGCTAAGAATAAGAAGCTCTATTCTAGCCTCTTAATTAAAAGAGCCTCCTAACTTAAAAGGCTTAATTAATCTAAGGCTTTCTCCTCCTTAATTATTAAGGTTACATATTTCTTATATATAAATCGCATGCCTTAATTATCTAAGTTATATACTCTTTATATATAAATTATATAATTTCTAAAGAGGTTATTTTGTAATATAAGATTAAGACTATAAAGCTATTTAATAAAAAAAGTTATATTATTTAATATTATAACTATTAAAGATATAATAGCTATATTAGTATTTTATATAAAAATAAAGTAAAATATAGATACTATAGACTAGGTTATAGAATATAAGACTATACTCTTCTGACTAACTTATAAGTTATTTATAAGCGTTATACTATATACTCTAGTAGGAACTATAAAGCGTGATTATTTGCCTGCCTAGCCCGGATTAAAGACACAGAATACACTACTATTATAAGGAGCCAAAAACTACTCTTTTACCCTTCTTCTTCCCTTTCTTCTCCTTTCTCTCCTTCCCTTATCTTCTTATTTATCCCTAGCTCTTAAACATCTAACTATAGCTGCCCTCTTAACTCAGGATTACTTACAGAATAGACCTTTATAAAAAGAGGTAAAAAGAAAAAGATAACCCGCCCTGTAAGCTGCCTAGCTAAAGTAGCCACAATTAATATTAACTTTAAGGCAATTTACTTCTTTATCTCTTTAATTAAGACCCTGACTCCTTTTAACTAATTACAGACCTTAAGTACTACTCTCCTTAGTAAATTATAAGCTATTAGTATATTACTTGCCTGTAAATTATAAGCGTTTCTTAAAGTAAATATAAAAGACTCTAATATTAAAGTTACTTGCTCTTAACCCTCTTAATAATATGCACTTTTCGAGTCCTTTAATATAATATTAATAAATCTAGACTAAAAGTCCTTGCTTCTTTCCTTTAGGACCTGAGAATTAATGCGTATAATGTAGTAGTAGTCTAAGAACTATAGTGTAACCTTATTAGTAACACTATTTATAACCTAGCTAATAGCGGGTTTTACTTAATTAATTTAAGAGCTAAGGAATTAAGAGTATGCTATTATATAAATAAGAGAATCTTAATAGATTCCTAAATAGAATACTTTTACTTAGATAATCTGGTCATAATTACCTTATGAATTATAGACGACTTATATATAATTAATATTTATAACTATTATAACCCTCCTCCTATCTACTATAGTAATATTAAGAACTACAGCACGCTTAATACGCTTCCTTAAGCCTTTAGCATGCTAGGAGAGCATATTATTTTAGGCAACTTTAATTTATATTACTTGTTTTAGTGTAGTCTTTCTTATCTGTATTAATATCTTTTCTTTAATACATTACTAAGTCATACACATAATATAAGCATCTCGCTTACGCTCCCCCTTAGAACTATTACTAGAAATGTTTACTCAGGATAATCTGCTTAAAGAACTACTATTAATCTTATCTTTCTTATAGACTTTCTATTAAATTAATTAACAGGCTATAGAATCGCATTTAAACTAGAACAAAAGTTAAATTACCTCTTAGTCTTAATAGAATAGGAATAGTAAATCATCCTTAAATTATATTCTATTTATAAGCAAAGAGTATAAAAAGAGATAGACTAAAAAAAGTTCTTAAACTTACTTAATAGAACATGAGCCTTTCTTTACTCTCTTCTTCTCTATAATAAAGAGGAGATTAATAAGTATATTAATATATTAATAAACTTAATAAAATAAGTAATTAATAAGTCTACCTTATAGTTATATCCTAGCTTGTTCTCGAAATTATACTAGACTATAAAGTGCTTAGAGGCTATTAAGCTTTCCTAAAGATTATATTGTTACTATAATGCCGCTTATACAGAATAAGCCTAAGAGGTATTTACTAGAACCTATAATAAGAAGAGTAATGTAATAGCTAAAGCTAAATATATAGAGTTTAGATAACATATATATAAAGTAAGCAAATCACAGAAAAAGCTATAGCAGACTGCTAAATAGGCAAGATAATAATCTTAAAGGATCTTTATATAAGCCTTATTTCTTACTCTTTATAAGAATAAAGTAATCGTCTTAGAACCTAAGGTAAAAGCTAAATTACTTTGTAATTACTACTTCCCTTCCCTTCCCTAAGTAGATCTTTCTGATATCTAAAGCTTTATTTACTTAAAACTTATTAATATTCTGCTTAAACTAATATAATTAAAGATTATATAAGCTGTCCTAAAATCTAAAAAGAATAATGCCTTAGGGCCTGATAGCATCTTTAATCAGGTTATCTATATAATTATTAATAAGTGACTAAAGCTACTTACTCGCTTATTTAGCATATATTATTATTTAAGAGTCTACGCCTTAGCCTTTAAATATGTTACTATAGTTAGTATTTGTAAACTTAAGGAATCTGATTACTCTAACCTTAAAGCTTATTACCCTAATACTCTCTTTAATACATTAGGTAAGGCATTAGAAGTAATAATTACAGAATATATTTGATTTATAGTTAAAAAGTACTCTCTTTTCTTAAATACTTAAATAAGAGCA